CTTCATCCCCGCCCCCGCCCGGGACTGGACCGTGCGGGAAGTCCGCGACGGCCGCGTCCTCCTCGACAGACCCCGCCGCCACGACTCCGGTGATGGGCTCGGACCCCTCTTCAATGAGATGGTGGTGTGCGACCCCCTGCACCGGCAGTATCTCCTGCTCCCCCCGCTCCCCGATGACATGGCCGCTTCGGTTGCGGACCACCTCATGATATATGGGCAGAGCTTCGCCGAGACCTTCCTCGTCCCTCCCGGCGTCGACGAGGAGGAAGCTGCTACGGCTACGGAGGAGACGTCATTCAGGGTGATCTGGGTGGTGCTGCTCCAAGCTAAGCAGATGGCCCTTATCTTCTCTTCCCGCACAGGGCAATGGCGAGCCCTGACTCGGAGCGAGTCGTTACCTCTACCGGATTTCACATGGATGGCTTGCTTCAGGTCGCGCCATTACGCCCATGGCTGCTTCTACTGGATTTCAGGTGAAAAATTGCTGGTGCTTGACATTCAGAGGATGGAGTTCTCCATGGCTGACCACCCACCCTGTGCCAGAGCTCCGAGCGATGATGTGGCCATTGCGGAGGCAGGCCAAGGCACGATTCGGATGTTTGTGCCTACACCCAACACAGCTCGCCGTAGTTTTACGGTTTGGCGAAACAATGGTGGGATTTCCACCCAGTGGCAGTGGCAGATGGAGAATGAAACAATCTTGCTGCCTTCTGGGTCCTTGCTCACGGGTGCAGTGGGGAGGCACTTGCTCCTATATCATGTGGGAAGCTCGTCAATCAGGCGAGGTTGTTACACGCGAGGCGTCGACACATTCCAGTTTGAGAGGGTGTGTGGTTCTGCTTCATTGCCCAAGCCGTCTCATGTATATTGCAACTTTCCACCGTCGTTATTATCGTCACCGACAGTGTCAAGTGGTAAGCTTTCCATTGAATGCCAGAAACTTCCTTCCCTTCATATTACTATCACAAAGCTTACAGTTCAAATGGTCACAATATTTATCTCCCCTAAACAAAATATTTGTCATGCAAAATAATACCTCCTTTCCTTAGAAATGCCAATTGTTTTCAGTTCACACCTATGTTTATCTCCCCTTCATGACATATATATCTTGAGTTGTAGCTCCGCATGTTGGGGCACTTTATTTTATCTATTGTAAGTTACCAAGATTCCACACAAAAAACAAATTCACCCGTAGTGATTTACATCAGTACTTTCTGTCAAAAACCCAACTTTATTTGACTGCACGCAGATGTAAACCTTTTTACACCTTCCCCTGTTGGCAGTGCACTTTTGTGACTCATGCTGCCATTAGTCTTTCGAATCTATCCTCTTTGGTATTGAACTCTGATAATTTTACAACCAAGATATTGCCTTTGTTTAGCCTACTGTTGCAATTGAACCTAGGAACCTTCTACCAGATTGCCGTTGATGCTTTCTATGTGCAAATGTTAATTTTTTTTCTCCTTTAATCATCGTCCTCTCCTTTTTGTATGTGCTTCCTCGTTTAATTTCTTTCTCATGCACGCCCTTCCTTTGAAGCATGGAAACACACAAATTGAAGGGTACTACACAATTGCCCTTGGTTGCTTCATGATTGAGCTTAACTGCTCTAGTACCATTAAGAAAAAATGTTTACAAAACTTGGTTTTATTTTGGGAGTATAGAATTGCTGGATTTTGATACCGGGTTCTCTATTCATAGCTTACCTGCAATTTCATTAAACCTTGATCACTTCATTTACTACTGTTTCTTAATCAATATACAACCATTCAAATCTAAAGACTAATAGTTGTACGCCATAAAATAGAGTGATTTCAGCCTTGGTAGTGTGCATCTTTAAGTGAAACTGTCAGACAAGTGGAAATTAGCACTAGCTTGTGTCAATGTAATGGTGTGACCTTGTGCAATGCAGCCACACCCCATGCTGACGTCCGAGGAGAGGGGGGAGCTGTGCAGGTGCCTGAACCACAAGAAGTCGACGCTGGAGGCATGGAAGGGTCCGTCCTCTCAGTGGCTGCCGAAGCTCCAAACCCCAATGACGAAGCAGAGGCGGGTTGTGGTGGGCGAGGAGGAGGCGCTGGGGCTGGTGCAGGGGCTGAACCTCCGGAGGGTGCAGGGGCGGGTGGCGTAGCTTGAGAGGGCGTGCAAGGAGGCGAGGGGCCTGCCGGTACCAGGGTGTCGAGGAAGACGATTGTGGCCAAGGGCAACAAGTCCTTCAGCTGGAAGGGCTGCTTGCCTTGTTGTATGTGATACCTAGTCTCATATCCTTTTGTAAGTTCATTTGCCTGATGTGTTGTGCTGGTCTTTTGTTTTTTGCTGCGTGTTGGTCACTCACTGGTTGTCAGGTAGGTAAATGAGCAAGAGTGGCAGCTGAGCTGGGACTTCGAGCTTTCACCATTGTCCCCTGTTTGCTCTTGTCGTCCTGTGCAACTGTTGCGAGATGACACAAAAGCATTGAGCTCCAGTTTGCAAAAACATCTTATATTGTGGGAGGGAGAGAGTACTTCGCATGTTAGTTTTGTCTGTACAGTTTGACCAAATTTATATTGAAGATTTTCAACATCTGCTATGCCAGATAAATATTAACACGATGAAAATGAATACTGTTCCATGATGGATCTAATGATGTTGATTTGGTATTCTGAACACTACGAAAAGAATTACTCCCTCTGTAAACTAATATAAGAGCGTTTAGATCACTATTTTAGTATTCTAAACGCTCTTATATTAGTTTACGGAGGGAGTACCAGATAAATATAACACTGTGAAAAAGAGTACATAGAAACTCCAAAGCGGGATTCATTTTTATTTGTGACAAAAGTACAACTCATGCCACAGGAAATTCAGAACTGAGAATGATTTGCAGGCGGGATCATTCTCAGCCTCGTGTTACCAGCGCTCTTGGTCTGCCATTACAGCTGGGATGTTAGAAAGTTCCCCCAGAAAAAACTGGATATCATAGATACCACATATAATAGAGCAAGCACACCTGTAAATTCTTGGTGGCAAACATGGTTTGTATCAGTATGTGGGACATGGAACAGGTACAATATGAGACCAGAACATGTGTAAGAACCGAAGAGGGCGTGATGTCGACCGACTTCTATGATTATTTTTCTAGCCTGGCTATTTCAGTTTGATTTTATACAGCTGGTATATTTGATTACAGCATATGCTTCCTTAATGTTTTAGTGACATTTATACTACTCCGGTGCGCACTAGCTGCAAACAGCATGAATAGCACTGTTCATCCGAAAAGGCTGGAACCATATTCATCTCTAGCCTTTTCCTTTCGAAAGCTAGGCTGCATTGAGCTGACGCATGTTCATCTATTAGGTTTTATAAAGTATAGATCAGTACCTTTACTGAACAGTCCTAGATCTCGGTGTTGAATTACTGTGAAAATTCCCTCAGTTATTCCAAGACAAAGGTCCACAGCAGCCAGGTCTCTGGGGACCGAAGCTTTGATCCGAGCAGTACCGGTCAATCACTGGTTAAGAGTCAGGTAAGGTAGATGAGCAAGATTAGCAGCTGGGATTGCGGTGCTTTCACCGTTTTCCCCCGTTTGCTCTTGCCGTCCTGTGCAACTGTTGCTTGATGACTGGTCGACAGTGCAGTGTTATAACTGACGATGCAAAAGCTGTCAGCTATATTTTCAGGCGCAGAGGAAGGAATTAGTACTCCCTCTGATCTTTTTACTTCGCATGTTAGTTTTGTCTTTACAGTATGGTGACCAAATTTGTAATGTTGAAAAATATCAACATCTACTATTATATAGCAGATAAATACAGTATGAAAAAAGAATATTATTTGATGATGCATCTAATGATACATTGATGTGGTTTTGTGAACATTGACATCTTTTTTCTGTAAACTTTGTCAAACTTGAGAATATGCGAAGTAAAACGAAACGGATGGGGGTTACAAGCAGACGGAAACGTGGACCGGAAACACTGAGTGGTGTAGGGATGGATGGTGTAAGATGGTATTCAGTCGTCTGAGTTACCAGGCTATCTATAATGGATGTTCGTTCTTGGTTCCCAATTACTACTGCCTGCTTTCTTCCTGCTTTCTTCATAACTGTGCAATCTCCAATGCACAGAAAAGCGCAGGACTGAACTTGATGTTGGGAAGTAACCGACGGCGGTAACATGAAGTTCATCCAGTGTATGAAGGAGTGCATAGCAACTCCAAAGCCGGATCTATTTCTATTTGTAACTCATGCCACAGGAAATTCAGAACTGAGAATGAGTTGCAGGCAGGATCATTCCCAGCCTCGTGTTATCAGCGCTCTGGGTCGGCCACTATGGCTGGGATTCTAAAAGTTCCAACAAAAAAACTGTATATCATTTATACCGCATATAACCGAGCAAGCACACCTGTAAATTTTGGGGGCAAATATGGTTTGTATGAGTAGCATGTGGAGTATGTGTAAAAGCTGAAGAGGGTGCAGTCCCAAATAAATAAATAAATAATGAAGAGGGTGTGGGTTTCTATGATTATATTTCTAGCCTGCCTTTTTAGTTTGTTTTATACAACCGGTATATTTGGTTACAACATCTATTGTTGTTACCTTAAAAAGACATTTACGCTGCTCTGGTGTGCAGTGCACTATCTGCAAACAGCATCGATAGCACTGTTCATCCGGAAAGGTTGCAATCATCATATCCAACCCCTTTTATTTCCTTCTTATAGTGTCAAAAACGCTCTTATATTATGAGACGGAGGGAGTAGACTGCCATGATCTGATACATGTTCTTCTATTACTAGGATTTAGCTGATGATCTGTCACTGGAACTGTAAATCACCCCTATTATCTTGTATCGATGGATGAATTGCTTCATTTCTAGCACATTTATGTCAAAATGGAGTGACAACTCAAACTGGACGTTTACCTTTACCGAACAGTCCTAGATCTCAGAGTTGAATTACTGTGAAAATTCCCTCATTTATGCCAAAACAAAGGTCCACAGCAGGCAGCCAGGTCTCTGAAGGGGACCGAAGCTTCGATCTGAGCATGAGCAGTACCGGTCAATCATTCTGGGTTTTGATCTGGATGAAGGCAAGGGAAGCACGGCAGCTCCGGCATTCAACCAACCAACTGTAAAGCCCGTGCGCCATTAACTATACTGTCGTCGGTCCTGCATGACTCACCTAACATGCACTCATCTTGGTTATTTCTAATTCTACACTCATGAGTCAACACTAGAAAGCAATATGCATTTATTTACTGCATCCTCAGGGTCACAATACAGTAGTAGTGGTAGCTAATTACACATGAAGATGAGCGAAAAACAGCGACCTGTTGCAAGTAGCAGTGGTAGAATCGCAGTGCCGTGCTCTTCCTCTTGCTATTTTCTTCCGATTTCGGAGGATTCGGTCGATTTCGGCGCAAGCCCTGGCCGGAAAGAAGAAGAATGTAGAGACGGCCGTCGTCCTAGAGAAATGCTGGTGGGTGGGGGTGGGGTGGTGGCAGCTCCGAGGTGACCACCATGCCGAGGATGCCGCTCCAGTAGCTGCTGCTGCCGCTCTCTCCGTCCCCGGAGACCTGCCCGCTGAGCTCGGCTTGGCCATTGCTGGACTCACCCCAGCAATCTAACGCATCGTGCAGCATGTCTGTGAAGCCAGCTCCGACGCCTACGGTCCCTTGGAACCACGGCTCCTCGCAGCCAATGATGTGCCTTCCCCTCTCCGCGCCTTCCAGTCCTTGCATCTGCTGCTCGCGGAGGAACTTGCGCACGCTGTTCTCTTCGCACTCCGGATCATCGCTTCTCAACTTCCACATCGCGGAGTTGCTTTCAGACGCCCCTAGGCTGACACTGTTATTATTACCGATGAACGTCAGTGTGGAGGTGGGTGACTCCAGGTCTAGCTTCGCGCCCTGCCATGGCTGCAACATGCCGAGGCACGGGGGAGTGGTAGGCTCTGGCAGGTTTATTGGATGCAGAGGGATTGAGGTTGGTGTGGAGGCTGCTGTGCGCATCGTGGATTCTCGAGCCAGGCGCCCCTCGGCCTCGAGCCGGGCGCTCTCCCATTGGGCCATGTGGTTGAGACTGGCTGCGGCCTTGGCTGATCTGACGTCAGCTGCGGTGCCTACAGGAGCTCCGTTGGTGGCCTTGTGGGTGACGGGGTCGATCCCCATCTTGGCCAGCCTCTTCTTGAGGTGGGTGTTCCAGTAGTTCTTGATCTCGTTGTCGGTGCGCCTCGATAGGTGCGTCGCGATGGCAGACCACCTGCACAGTCCCAGGAAGCAACACTTAATAAGAGATGATCATATAGGTATTCATGCATTATCATTGCTGAACAGAATACACAGAATGCCAGCCAAAATTCTTTATTCTGGAAGTGCAAAAAATCAGGAGCATTCTGTATACACAGAATGAAAACGCTGATATTTGGTGCATTCAACACTACAAATTATCCGAAACACCTGTCGAGAGACTCTGAAAAAGAATATTCATACAGCAGTCTGACAAGGTCAGAGACTCTGCACTTGATCTTAGACACGAAAAAGAATGCAGGTAAGACATTGATGACGCGGCAACAGAAGGATCTGTACTACTCTGAAAGGGAGCTTAAGTTGGTAACTGTGCTGTGATAACCTGAGTAAAAAACCTACATAAAAAACACTACACACCTGTTGCCAAGAAGAGCATGAAGCTGGATGATGGTCTGTTCTTCCTGCAAGCTGAACTTGCCCCTCTTGATGTCCGGCCTCAGGTAGTTGGTCCATCTCAGTCTGCAACTCTTGCCGCACCTCTGCAAACCTGCAAGATGTTGGCCGAACCCTCACCAACTCCGTAGAAAGACGCCTCTGTTCCTCAGCAACCGGATGAAAATCAAGCTTTTGTAGACTCACCGGCCTTGGAGGGCAATGCACGCCAGCTCCCGTGTCCATGCTCCTCGATGTGGGCAAGAAGCTTCTCGTCCTCCTCCGGCGTCCATGGACCTTTCTTTAGGCCAACCTTGTCACAGCATGGTGATCTCCCCATTGGAGTAGCGTACTATGCCGCCTTTAGGAAGCCAAGAGCTGACAGCTGAGTGCAGAGGAGCTAAATAGAGCAGCAGGAGAAGGCAAGTTGGAGCTATACATCATTAGCACGATATGAAGGTATGAAAACTGAACTTTCCATGCCTTATCATCATGACATAAATGCCCTTTTGACGGTTTGGTTTTGGTGCAGGTTACTGGGTGCAAGAAGACGTACAGCTCCTCACCGATCGACTGAATGTAAGAGTAATAAGCAAGTGACTTTCAGTTGAGTATGAGTTTAGCATTCAGGTCCACGGCTATGGCCCTCGAATTAAATGCTGCTATAACTCCAAGCGGTGACCGGACCCCTCCACTGTGACACCAAGTCCAGGTTGGTGAGACCGTAAGGTAATTTTCTTTTTGCCTGAAAGTTATTGAGGGTCAATGTTCGTTACGTATGTTGCTTCATTTTGGGACGAGTCCTCTTAGAGGAGCAATCCATTTGGTACAGCCATTCTGGCAGTCCAGTACAAAACATAGGCTTATTAACATGCAATGTCTACCAATGCTTGGAATTAAGGATTTAATTATAATCTCTCTCAGAGTGAACTGTTTGGTGTACAATACAGCTGTAGATGAAGTGCAAGTTTCTCTAGCAAATGCCATTTCCATTTATACTGGTGAACTAATTCATGGATTAAAAGGTGCTTTCAGTAATGTCACCAATGCCTTACTGATCATGGATTCCATATTTGTTTAAGTCTAAACTGGAAGCGCAATTAATTGAATTTATTCCATGCAAAAAAAAAACTGAAACTGAAGTGTGAACAGCTTATATGAACTAAAAAAATTCAATGTTTTTTTGTGAGATGTAGGAAGATACTGCAAGCATTGCAGATGAAAAAGTACAAAGACGACACCTGGATAAACGTGTATTGGTATGATATGGGACCACTACGGCAGTGAATAGTTAACATCAAACTACATGAGTAATTTTACTTGCAGTTCTGTGTAAGGAAACACTTGCTGAATAGTGGGGGAAATGGGAAGAACACAAAATGTTCAATAAACGTAATACTGCACACATATAACACATGGATATAAGAGCTGCACTGTCCACTGTAGAGAAGTAGACAGGATAACATGTAGTCTCAACCTAAAAATACATGCCCAGTGTATGGGTAAGATATGGGGATACTTCCAACTGAAGTACAGCAAAGAGAGGGGAAAGAAGGATGCCAAAACTATTTCATGGCAAGAATCATTATTCAGCCTAAGAAAAATAAGCATTATGACATCTTAAAGACATAATTTGTGTTTATAACAGCACATTTGCACTGTGTTAGAATAGAGAACATGTGAACAAACTAACTGGAGACAGGTCAGGGATGAAACACTTACCTCATCGCAAAGGAAGTAAGGACATCCATGACCCCATCGAAATAACTATGTAACATTACATTATTCAAGATTGTGGTACAGGTTCTTCCATCTGCACATGGCTTTTCAGACTAGATCAACCCCTTGTGCCAGTGGAAGATTGTACCATCTTGTTTATCACCTTGGTTGCCTCCTGCAAAGGAAAGCTTGGACGATCTGCTGGGAAGCTGTTGTTTACCGCATCCATTCTGTGCCACTCACTGTCGGAGTAACATGTTGGCCTGAACCAAACTTGTCAATGGAACAATGAATAAGTTCACAATGTTTGAGTGGCATATAGCTAGAGATTTAACTGCAATTTCAAATAAAGGCCAATTAACAACTGTTATCACAATGAAATTGCTAAATGACACAAATCATGAAATCAGACACTGCTAGTCTACTTCTTTGAAGCTATGGCGATTTGATAGGTGGCATTAATTTGCAATCAGGTTAAAGATTGCAGGCATAGGTGGAGATTATTTTCATTAAATTTAGAGGGTCCTAGACTGTTGAAATTTCCAGCACAGGATGACATACCAACAATAACTACAACTAGTAAATTTGCGACCACACAGATAAAGAGATTTTTCAAAATATGGTAATCCTATGGGTTTGGAAAAGTACATGTGATTCCTATGCAAATATCTCTTCTCAAATACATCTATTATAAATACATGCACTGCAGGATAGAAGTACCGATGGCAAATAAGGCACTTAAATATCTACTCTCAGACAGACTGCCATGATATTATGCATAACCTTGATATGACTGTGCATAAAGGCCCTTATAAAACAGTCACTTTTTCAGCACAGACATCTAATTTGCAGAATATCATTGTCCATAACCTCTTGTACTCTAATATGTAAGTTGTGAAAAAGTGATATGCATACCTGGAGGAAGAATTGATTAGTGAGAACTGACGCTGGTGTCCTGCCATGTTAGTCAATAGGGCAGCTGTTATGACTATTGTAATCTAGACTAGGGAAGCCGATGGACCAATACCAACTTGTGTGCGTCATACTGAACCAACAACCAGTATTAGATGGTAGTAGCAACAACAGACAAGAACTCGTGGAAATTTGTGCGTACTTTAACCCCTGCCACTTGTGCATGATACAGCGTTAGCATGATATGCACAAGTTGATTTTATTGTAAGCTGGAAGGTTCCGGACAACATAAAAGCCACCAGCTATGCATTCAGTGTAAAAGAATTAGCAAAAACTAAGTAGAAGAACATAAACAAGAGAACAACAAATGGTAAATGACAGGAACAGACTCCACACTTTCACGCTGCTACATACAGTACATACTATAATTCTAGATCCACCTGTGATTATGAAGATGCTCTCTAGCAAATATGGTAGTAAAACCTTTTCAAACAACTGATAGTAAAAATTTATTAGGAAAATATGCAATCAGTGTCCAGACAGATTCCATCTGGTCTCGGTGACAGTTCAGATCTAAGCATACCATAACCATTTTGCCAAACACCATTGCTTCTCTGACGTTCTCTGACAGATCACGGATGTGGGGGATAGCAATGTTAGCAAACTGGGAGCAGTGCAAATACATTGGTGTTACGAAGCACTGGAGCAGGATGAATCAAGACGCTAAGTAAAACTAACATCAAATTTTGTCATGATCACTTGATCAGCATTGTCAAATGAGCCATACAGAAGCTCCTCATCAAAGTACATTCTCTGAAACATACACAACACAGCTCACCTTACATGAGAAGAGCATCACACCTGTTGAACCTGGGAAGACCCTGACCCTCTGAATATGCCATCCCAATAGCAGCCTCACCATCCTTCCCTACGCCCATGTAATAGAGTCTCCAATCATACGGCCCATCCATTTGCACCAGGCACGGAGCGCCGACCCCAGCGACATCCCACTCGTCATCATCCTCCGACGGGCGCAGCGCTGGTGATTCACTGCACCGCCTCCAGCCTCTCAGCCCGTCCTCCGACACGGCCAACCCAATGCTCACCCCACCATTGCCATCCAAACCCTCGTACGCCATCATGTACCGACCGGCGGCGCGGTCACGGACGACATGCCCCTGCCGCACCCCGCCTTCGTCGAACGACCCAGGCCCGCCTCCCTCGAGCGCCTTCCCCACCCTCTCCCACCGGATGCCGTCCCTGGACCTGGCCACCCCGACCGCGTGCCTCTGCGACATTTCGTCGAACGAGTGGTAGTACATCCGGAGGTCCCCGTCGGCGTGCATCACCACCTTGGGGGCCGCCGCGCAGCGCTTCTCCCAGCCCTGCGGGTGGTCCTCCCCGACCCCGAGGAGCGCGCCGGTGTGGTGGCCCCCCTCGATGCGCGCCCAGTGGCGACCGTCCTGGCTGATGGCGAGGCCGGGCAGCGCGGCGACGTCCGCGGCGGGGAACGGGGACGACGCGAGGCGCGCGTCGTTGGAGCCGGTGTAGTAGAGCCAGTACACGGCGGATGAGGAGGAGGGCGGGAGGCGGCGGGACGACGGCGCGTCGGGGCCGGAGATGACGAGCACGTCGCCGGGGCGGACGGCGGCGGTGTCGAAGACCCACCAGTCGGTGGAGGGCAGCAGCGGGTCGGGCGCCATGGGCGGGCTCCAGCGCAGGCCGTCGGGGGAGGTGGCGAGCGCGACGCGCGCCCCGGAGTGGTACCAGAGGAGCCAGTCGCCGGCGGGCAGGCGCTTGACGACGGGGGAGCCGGCGCCGCGGAGGAGGAGGCCGCGGGAGACGGCGGGCTGGTGGTGGTGGGCCGGGGCCTGGCAGCGGAGAGGGGAGGCCAGCGGGCAGCGCGCCGGCGGGAGGAGATTGGCGAGGAGCATGGCGCCGCCGGGTGAGAGCGTGACGGTGGCGGAGCCGGGGATTTGGATATGCGGCGAAAAATCCAACGGCCGGATGACAGAAAGACACATCACGAAATTCAAGCGTTTGTTTCTAATAGTGGGAAGGATTATCATATACTCCCTCCCTTTCATGTGCGCGTTTTTCGAGATCTAAATTTAATTATAAATTTAGTAAACAAGACTAACTGCGACGGAAGCAAAAATTATATACCAATTGGTACAATTTAGTGGTATAATTTTTGCTTCCGCCGCAATCGGTCTCGTTGGTTAAATTTATGGTCAAATTTAGATCTCGAAAAACATGAATGCACTACATTGTGAAATGGAAGGAGTATTAAGGCGTGTTTGGTTATCTGTATCGATTTTTGCCCATTTACACTCGTTTGCATCGTGGTTAGAAGGCCCAATTTCTTCGTTGTTCGACATGCTTCCTACGAAAAATTTCCAAAACTAGAGAAAACCGGTTCAGGAACCCCTGGAAGGTTCCCAAAATCGGGATGGCAGAAGTGGTGGGCGGGCCGGCCCAAGTCATCCCTCGCTGGCAAACCTCTGTGCGAAAGCCCGACAACTTGACGCAATGTGCGTCAAGTATGATTTTCCGCGTCAGGGTGTCCACCTTTCGCATAAAGACCTGGCGATCAAGCGATCACCTGGCCGGGCCCATTAAAGTGTGGCAGCAATTTCCAGTTTTGGGAACTTTCTAGAGTTTCCTAGCCGGTTTTTCTGGTTTTGGGCACCTTCTAGACGGTTCTGT